GTGTTTATGTATAAAGCCAGGAGCAATTTATTACCTGGTGGAATTCAAAAACTATTTAATGAAAGGGAAGGGGGATACAATTTAAGGGGTCAGTTAAATTTAAAAATTCATGCTATACGTACAACCAAAAAAAGATTTTGTATTTCCATAAGTGGGGTAAAACTATGGAATAATTTAAGTGTGGACATAAAAAATAGTAATAGAATTGATGAGTTTAAACATAAATATAAAGGTATGTGTCAATCAAGATATATGCAAAAACAGGCTTAATGATTAATCAGATGGAACATTGTGGGTGTGGTGTATGAATGTTAACACTACAGGTATGTAATAATTCTTTAGTATATTACTTGTGTGGTGTAGAAGATAATTATCTAAGAATGTAATTATGTAAGAATGTTAACACTGTTATAATTTTTTAGTATATTACTTGTGTGGTGTAGAACAAAATTATTTATGTAGAGATACTGCTTGCAAACCAATGATGGTAAGATGATGTCATGGGGTAGGACTGGATAAGTCTGACTTCTTCCTACTCCATTCAAGCATGTACTAGGTATAAGCAAATTGATAGTGGATTAGCATTTGTTGGATATGTGTAAAATTATGTGTGTTGACATATCGACTGTCTTTACATGCTTGAAAGAATAAATCAATCAATCAATTTTTTGGGGGGGGGAGGGTACGTGCAAATTTAGCCTGCACGTTTGTGCAGGCTAAATTACCCCCATTGTATTGAAGTGTAGCTATCAATACAATATTTGACTCTAAAATCAAGTGGTAAACAAGATTAAACTATTTGAAATGGGTTTCATTGTATTCATTGTATTTCATGTGTTCCCTTACATTTCCAAAGTGACATGCAAAGTTGACTAAATAATTAAGTTTATGAACAGTCAAATAACTATCTGTGGTGGACTTTCAGGCATCCTTTCTAAGTGCCAGGGATAACAGTTTTGTTTATTAAATATAAATCATAGACCTATTTCAGGAACCTGAAAAAAAAAAATCAGTTTAAAGTCACTTTGTATAACTAACGGTAAACCTGTAATGATGGATATTGCCAATATGATTAATAAACATATATTATATAAATGTTTCAGAAGTATATACAGTGGGTACGGAAAGTATTCAGACCCCCTTAAATTTTTCACTCTTTGTTATATTGCAGCCATATGCTAAAATCATTTAAGTTCATTTTTTTCCTCATTAATGTACACACAGCACCCCATATTGACAGAAAAACACAGAATGTTTGACATTTTTGCAGATTTATTAAAAAAGAAAAACTGAAATATCACATGGTCATAAGTATTCAGACCCTTTGCTCAGTATTTAGTAGAAGCACCCTTTTGAGCTAATACAGCCATGAGTCTTTTTGGGAATGATGCAACAAGTTTTTCACACCTGCATTTGGGGATCCTCTGCCATTCCTCCTTGCAGATCCTCTCCAGTGCTGTCAGGTTGGATGGTAAACGTTGGTCGTCATGTTTAACATGTCATTTTGCTTCAGTGGCATTTTGGTCTGTTTCACCCAGATAGATGAGTCGGTGTGAAAATGTGGGAAAGATGGTCAAAAATGTGATTTAATGTGCTTCTCTTAAAAGCAGTTGTAGGTTTGGTGGTTGAATAAAAATGGGAAGGAGAAAGCTGTGTGACCACACAAAGCAGTTTTGAGTTTTGAGATTCAGTAAATTTGCCACTTCCCCTTTTTTTAACTGTCTTCTTTTTTATGTGGTGTCAAATCTGTGAAAAAGAAAACATTTGTTTGTACATGACCCGGTTGTACTTTTCCTCAGATGCCTGGTAATATCTAACATCTTCAGAATGAATCTAAATGGTAAATCATAATAATGTGGTTTATGATGACATATGAGTGCACTTTTCAAAGTACTCTACATCAGGATATTTCATTCTGACTGACAAGATGTACTTAACATGTACTTACCAAACAAACAAAAACACTATCTTTATAATAATGACCCTCATCAGTCAAATTAAATATTCTTCATATTTTATATTAGAAAACCAGACAGGAAAATGTTGTTTTTACTGCGCCAACCAAACCAGTGCTTTCAGATGAAGACTTTTAAAGTGTAGGTGAAAACTAAAAATCGACAGTATGAATCTTTCATCACAGGAACTCACAGGAATTGCACATTAAATAGTTTATTATTGAAAGAAAAGTGGATGAATAAATCAATTATAAAACAAACACAAGTGAGAATACATGGAGGACTGCAGACTTAATCTAAACGATATCCGGGACTCACCGCTCAGCAGGGAGGGATTTCATTCATGAAGTGCTGGAGGAAGAAATGGGAGGATGTCTGACCTTCGCTCCCATACTTATGTCTGTGACAGGAGG